TGGAAAAATGACTGTCTATATAGATTGATGACGAAATTGAACGCAATATGCTATTAAACCAATCTATTATAATGCCTTCTTGACAAAAAGAGAATTTTATTTGTTTTTATGAGTATATTCGTTTATTCTGTTTTTATTTTTGTAAGAAATAAATGTTTGGTTTTATTTTTATTAAAAAAAACATTATTAAATTTAATATCTAACCAATTTTCTATCCATCTTCCCCTAATCCCATTATTTACATGTTAAGATAGTCTCGTTTAGCGCTGTTTCGCATTACGCTCTACTTTGATGGAATGTATCTCCCGCTTAACTGTATTTTATTCTATTTTACTTCTTGATTCACGGATGGCATTATAGATTCATAGAAAAAAACTTTCTTTCCTACGACACACACTTTTGATGCTTTGAGTCTTTGTGAAACAGGTGCTTTTGTTTGGGTACTGTGTATTACATTTTGTGAAATCTTCATTTAGGTAAGTTTTGAAGAAAATTATCACACTTTAACCCTTTGACGCGCGGTGGTCGCACCCTGAAACCACCAATTTTCGAATTTTTTTTCTCCTCTTCTTTCTGAAATTTTTAAGAGAAAATCAATTGGTTACTGATCTTTTACATCTACATAACACAAAATGACTGCAGAATCATATATGTTTTAGGTCTTAGTACTTAAAATCAGATGCCTTTTAAAATTCATTTTCAAAGAAACAAAATAACTTCCTTTTATTAATATAAACAACTTTAAATTTAAAAAGTTATTCATCGCACATCATGATTTCTATCATAAATAATAAAAAATAGCAATAATTAAGCTGCATATATAAAGAAAACCCTCTATATGTATGGCATTTGCTTTGTGGTTTCAGGGCACGACCACTGCGCCACTAGAGCATTGTGGCACAATGCTCTAGAGGCTCGGTGGTCGCGCCTTGAAACCACTGCTCTTTACAATGGCGTTTGCTTGCTTCTCAGATAGGAATGTTTATTTTTACTCGGATATAGATAAGGGGTTTTGAAACCACAGAGTTATTTTATTACTAAACAATACATGCACCCGCCCAGTAAAAAGGTCTTTCTTTTCCAGATAATTTTCTCTCACCTCAGCCCACTTGCTCCCCAAGCTAGAATTGAGATTTTATAAATTATTTCCTGTGGTTTAAATTTAATGTAAATATACTTTGCTATAATTAAAAACAGAAATCGCGTAAAGTTTTATTTAAATCAAAAATATTTTCTGAATATTTTGAGACGAAATACGAATAAAATAAATATGAATGGGAAACGAACGATCCGTAGCAAAGCAAAAAGACCAAGCCCCCCTCTCCCATTAACATAAAAAAAAACACAAATTTCATGTGCCAGCTGAAAAGAAAATAAATAATGCTGAAAATATAACATTGAAACCTAGATCCAAGCAGTGCACATTTTGTAGCAGAAGGAAGAAACCTTCATAGAAGACACATGTGCGAAAAACGGGCAATGTGGGTCTATGGATGTACCAAAATGACAAAACATGCTTTGAACATTGTCACAAAAAATTGTTCTTTGATATTTAAAAAAAAAAACTAAGTCTTATTTTTATCTTTATTTTACTGAGTTTTTTATCCATTTAGCCAAACGTCCTTATCATGTAGATACTTATATTTTCACTGCTATAGAAAAATTACATAAATGTCTATTTTTTAATTTTTTCTGACGATTTACTTTGTAAAATAATGTAAAAAAATTATATATAATGCAATTCTTGCATAAATTTTTTTACAATTCGTAAATTTCGTCATTTATTCGAAACGCGCACGGAGAAAGGCAAGTTTTTTTTTCCTACTACCTAGGTAAGTTTTAATGTTCTAGACGCGTGGTGGTTTCACAGTGCGACCACCACCCACAGAACAATGGGCAAGAGTAGATTTTTTTTAAATTCGTATATTATTTGTCTCTATAATCATAATATTCAATAGCTAGAGTTTTTAGTTAAAAAAATTAAAAAAATAATATCACGCGCGTCAAAAGGTTAACTGATGAAAAATTAAAAACTGACCTATCAAGTTTTATGTGGTTTACATTGTTATACTTTTATGTCATTCGAAAATAATTCTGATAATAGCAACACTGACTTTAGAAAGTAACTAGATATTATTGCCAGGACTAATGGGGGGGTTTTGTATTGCATCTTGTTTCAATATATGGCATATCAACTTCAAATATTAACTTGTATCTAGAAATTTCAAGATGTGTAATACATATGAATTCATACTCGCCTGTGTGAAAGCCAACATTAAAGGGGTGATATTTTTTATAATTCTCTCTCACTCTCTCTCTCTCTATATATATACACACCAAGGGTGGCCAAACTTCAGTATGATAGGAGCCACACAGCAGATTTCAGAAAAATTCGAGAGCCGCACCTGGATTTTTCCAAGTTCCACAAACTAAAAAAATAATGAATATTTGAAGTAAATTAAAACTTTGCATTTTTATGCAATTATTGTGCCTGCAGAAAAAAGCAGAACTTTTTTTCTCCTATTTTGTGTTCAGAAACAACAAATTATAAATTTGAGACTACTGTATGATGTATTTGAGCATTCTTCTTTTATGTAAAAAACAAGCATTTTATTTTAGACTTTTTTATTCCTCTGCTTTCATAACTGTTGTATGTTTTTATTAGAAGTGAACAGAGGAAAATAAAATATGTATTGGTCCTTAGAAATACATATTGTAAAAGGTTTTCCCTTTGAATGAATAAATCACTCATTTTAGAAAACAAATTGAATAGTTTTTCTTAAATTTTAATTTCTACATATTGTTTTAGAAAGCATAAAATAAGTGATAAAGGACAATGCATGAAGCTGATAAACTGTTAAAAACTACTTTAGAATAAGCTATTAATTTTCTTAGGCTTTTGTATGAAAATTAATAACTTTATTTTCCAACACAATTAACGTGAGGGATAATAGACTGAGATCACATCTAACTTTAAATAATTGAACTAATTCATTAGAATCGAAAAGGTATGGTTTTCAAAGATTCAACCCATTTTTTATTCATGACAGCCCTAAGTGCTGCACTGCAGTATAATTGCAATGAAATTTGGCATAATTTTTACGTAATCGGTATGATGTGCATCATTGAGAATTTTCGAAATTATCTCTGGAACTGTCTCGATAATTTTGGACATAGATAACGTACCACTCATAAATCTAGCAATTTTTGTCGTGATTTATAAATGTTTCTTCGGTCACATATTCCATCTGTATACCAGTCAAACTCTTCAGCAATGGCTGTTGAATTTTCAGCTGGTTTCCAAATGCAGCCAAATCAAAATTAACAGTACAGATGACTACTGCAATGAATTTATTTCACAAATACAGATGTAAAATGGAGTTCAGGACTCCAAATTTCTATGGACATACATAAATGTTCAATGTAAAGGATCTTTGTAGCATGGCAGACATCTACATGATTGTTTAAATCCTGAGTTCTTGCCACAGAAGTGTACAGATCCATCTTATTCTAACTTTTAACTGCTGGACCCAGTCAAATGGCTTATCGTTTCATCTTAAAGTTCTGAAAAAATTTCGCCAATTCAGTAGTTTAAAATAAAGCTTCTATTCTAATTGTCAGACTAATGGTTATATAGCTTGTATATCAGACACTAAAGCTCAAATAAAGTTAAGATATTAATTTACAAGACAACGTGAGCCTACAAGCTTTGATTCAGGCCCTCAGACTTTCACTGACTTTTATGGCTTAGCGATGAAAAAAGAAACACAGCTGCTAAGAGAAGTAATAGTGAGATGTAAGCTATAGATCCCAAACGATTTCTGTTAAGAACTCTGTGCTTAATACATAAACTAATGCGGATACTGAGGGGAACCGACAAAACTAGAAATTAAAATAGAGGCAAAATAATTAGGTAACCTGTTAATAAACACAAAACTCCCTACAAGCAATAACATAGCTCGATAATTTGAGCCAACAGAATAGCCTGACTACTGCTTTACTTGCTATTAAATCTTGTTGAGAAGTATGCATAAGAAATCTTCCCTTTCAGGCATTCCCAACAAATAAATTACAAGGTTGTGCGAAGAAAAAGGCTCTAACACATCACTTTTTATTGAGGCATAGAAAATATTTATCTGCAGAGAATTACATATATGTTTCTTATGTAATTAGCGAGTTTCCATGAACCAAATATCAAGTTATACTTATGAAACACGGCTTCATCATTGATAATGAGTCTGCCCACAAAATCATACACTTGCAGATCTATGCTAAACTTCCCCCATTTGAATTTTCCGCAGTTTTTAAAACCCATGTTTTCTCAGATTTGTAACACTTAAACTATGAAATGTATCTTATGCAACACATGCCATAATTTGTTTCCTTGTCTGTTAGCATGGTCTTGCTGAGGAATCAAGGCTAAATCACACGAATATTTTCCGCCATTCCATTATTGACTCTTCTTGGTTGTTGACTTGAACAAATGTCAGAATATTTGTGCTTTTTCTCTCACAAGCAACTTCTGTTATTAAATTATTACCTTTGGAGGTTTTGCATGTTCTAGCTAATAATGAATGTTTTTGCACTAAAGCTTCCATTTTGAATATTATCACCTCTAATGAGTTTTACAGCATTACCAAATGAAAGTTAAAGAGTTAACTATTCATTTCATACTTTTATCTTATTAGTTCAACTCATTGCAAACTTTTATTCATAATCATGAACAGCACTAAAAACTTATACAGAAAAAAATTACAGACGTCCACCTTCAGCACATCCAACACCAACACACGTGGTGAACGAAAAAACACATGGTCAACAACTCTTTAGTCAATGTTACAGTTACATATGAAAATTTAAAAACAATAACACAGCAAAACAAAAATGTTCTGAAAATTCACACACTTAATTTTAAAAAATTAAATGCACATTATTAAAGTTATTAGCAATGACAAATAATTATTACACTTTTCTTTCATAATTTAAATTGATTTTTTTACCAATGTGGGCTATCACCAGGCCACTGAAATGCTAAGTTCAAATCCAATGTATTGGACTGGTGCAGCCATCTACTGACAAGATAGTGAAATGCAAAGTGTTCTAACATTACTCCCTCACCAGTAACTAAGTTACGATACTTAAATTGCATTGGTAAGGTCAATAATCGAATAACGTGATCACTACATCTCATGATCAAAATGCACTTCACGTATAAAAGAATGAATTTCTAAGCTTGCATCTGGTTCTGAATTGTAAAGTTATAGCAAATTAAAATACAAATAATAATTAAGGTAGCTGGAACTTCAAGATATATCACTAATCTCTTTTGTTCCATGCTGGAAAACCACATAATTGTAGATACCACATTCAATATTCTATACATTCATTATACATTTCATTATTATATCTCAAAGTTAATATATACATACATACTCCATATCTGGGCTTAACTGAACAATTCAATGATATGCTTTCAGTGACATGAAAATAGTTAACACCAATAAAAATCTGATCAGTATTACTAAAATTTTCACATTTCATAGCAGGTATTTTAAACACCAAATGCACTTTTCTTATTTTACTCACTCCTGACTGACTCAATGCAACACTGTCCTGAATATACACCTTAGCAACTAATATTCTTTGAAAATTATTAGTTTTCTGAAAAACAGGTATTAGTACTGCATTAAAGCTGCAGCTGGATAGAAATTATATTTGCTCCAAAGCTCATATATGCCTAAATACCAACATGATTAGAACACTACTTATTTACATACAGCTCAAATTCTTAATTTTCAATACTGCAATCTAACATTAACAAATTAGTGAAAAAGACATATCTCATAATACATAGATATATGTGCACTACACTATATAGCACTGAAATATTCTAACTGAAACAATAATTGTATTTTATAAGATAGCTTCTAAGGAGGTAATGCAGATGTTATGCCTAAGCAAAAAAACACACTGTATTCCAAAACACAATAATACCAACCCTTACAGCTAATACATGCATATAGAATTTGAAGCAAAAATTTCTAGAACAGTAAAAACAATATGGAAAGTATATCTGAATATATTCATGAACAGTAATATATTGCTCAATATCTACACCACTACGACTCTGGTATATTACAGAAGATACATATATTAGAAATTATAAAATCAGTATACATTATTGTGAAGGAGATAAATACTATATGACATTAGCCTTAATTGGGGAAGTAGATCATGAATAATAATATTTGCAGTAACAAGAGATACGAGTTGTGATTTAGTTTTAAGTTCGAAACCTAACAGGAAGTTTTATTTCTCTACCACAACGAGTGTTTGTTGGGAAATTACTATGATGCATTTCCTTTGAGGATCCACCATTGACATCGTCATCAAGAAGCTGATTCGGTAGTTCTGGCATGCTATCTGCATTCATAAGGTAAGCAGGTTTCAGCCTATCAATAGAGATGTTAACATCTTTTCCTTTAATATGCACAGAATAATACTTATCATGTCTTTCTGCTACAGGAAATGGGCCATCATATGCAGGCTCTAGTGGTTTTTTCACCCGATCAACTCGAACGAACACATGAGTACAGGTCCTTAAATCTCTATGTACAAAAACTTTTTGATAAGACCGACATGTATCTGCAGACTTCATTAGCTTTACTAGGGCCATCTGCTGCTGAAGATTGTACACAAATGTGTCAGGTTCAACGTGGACATTGGGTTTTTCAAAAAATTCACCAGGAAGCCTGATATTGGTACCATATACCATTTGAGCAACTAGAATGGTTTGTACCATCTCTTGATAGCAGCTCTTAAACCCAACAAAATAGTTGGGTAGCATATCACTCCATTTTAACATTATTGTGAGCTTTTATTGCAGCCTTTAGTGTCCTGTGAAAAGCGCTCTATTTTCCCATTACATTGGGGATGATAGGGCGTTGTATGCAGAAGTTTAGCACCACAAATAGCAGCAAGATTTTTAAACATTTGGGAGGTAAACTGGCGACCTTGGTCATTACAATACACTGTGGCACTCCAAATCTGCTCACCCCAATGGTCATAAAAAGCTTTACTCACCAGTTCTGCAGTGATCTCTTCTAATGGAACTACCTCCATCCAAACAGGAAAATCTATCAATGCAGGTTAGACAGTAAATTTTACCATTAGATGGTGGCAAAGGCCCAATCAAATCAATATGGATGATGCTAAATCTGGCACCTCAGGTTCTTGATATGTACCAAAGGTTCAATTTGGTTGTGTCTTGTTACTTTTAACTTTCTGGCACTGCAGACAAGCTCTAGCCCAATCACTTGCTTGTTTCTTCATCCTGGGCCATACAAATCTGGCAGTTATCTGTTTTACAGTGGATCTGACATGCCAGGATGTGACAAAACTATGGATTATGATCAAAAATTTTCTTGCGAAAATTTATGAGGTACATATGGGCGAATATTGCTAGCTGACAGTATCACACCATAGGACAGTTTTTCCAGATTGTAGTACATATTCCTTGAAAATTAATGAGGTGTTACTTGCAATTAATTCTTTAAACACAACTCAGGGTCATTCTGTTGTGCCTTTGCAATTTCTTCATAATCAATTACAGATATCTCTTCAATTCTGGAGAGAGTATCTGCTACAATATGTATCTTTTCCACTAATGTGCTGTATATTTGTAGTAAACTGGGAGATGTACTGTAACTGACGCAGCTGCCTAGGTGAAGCTTTATCATTTTTTTGCTTGAATGCAAAAATCAGTGGCTTATGATCAGTGAAAATTTGAAAATCTCGTCCTTCCAGCATGTATTTAAATTGCTTACATAGAGAGATATATTCCAAGCAATTCACGATCATAATGTACTGTATTTTCTTTGAGCCCCATTTAGCTTCTTTGAATAAATGCAACTGGTTTCCAGTTACCATCTTCATACTGTTGCAAAACTGAACCAATTGCCCAATCTGAGGCATCAGTGCACAGAGATAATGGACATTCAGACTTGGGATAACTTAACAGGGCAGTATTAGCCAAGTCAGTTTTGCACTTCTCAAATTGCTTTATGCTTTCTTCAGTCCAAGGTACTTTACTTTTATCTTTTTTCTTTGCTCCCTTAAGCATTTTCATGTAGCATGGCCTGGGTCTGCGCTGCATCTTTCAAGTACCTCCTATAAAAATTTACCATGCCTAAAAAAACGTTCTTAAGCCATGAAGAGTGGATGGCAGTTCATAATCAAGAATAGCTTTAACTTTGTTTGGCAGAGGTTGCGAACCAGAAGGCGTAATGAGATACCCCAAAAAATTCAATTTCTTTAACTCCAAATACGGACTTTGACACATTTAAGCATAGGCCATATTTATCAAGCCTTTCGAAAATTAAGCTCAGATGTTTTTTATGCTCATCCTCAGATGACGAGGTGATTAAAACATCATCAAGATAAGGAAAACAGAAATCAAGCCCTCGAAACACCTCGTGTACAAATCTTTGAAAGGTTGAGGGAGCATTTCGGAGACCAAAACTCATAACGTTAAACTCGTACAGTCCAAATGGAGTAATAATGGCTGTTTTTGGTTTATCCTCCTCAGCTATGGGTATTTGATAGTATGCTTTGAATAGGTCTAATTTTGAGAAAATTGTTTTCCCACTCAAGATTAAATGAAAATCCTCAATCCTAGGAATCGGGTATCTGTCCGGAATAGTCTGCTCATTCAGACGTCTATAATCACACAGGGTCTTAAAGTTCCATTTCTTTGTAACCAGATGCAGAGGACTAGCCCACTGTGATTTAGATGGCCTGATTATACCATTGTCTAACATGAACTGAAACTCTTGTTTTGCCAAATTCAGTGTCTTAGCATCAAGCTGCCGAGCACGAGAGTAAACTGGCTGTCCTTTTGTAGCAATATAGTGTGGACCTTATGTTTCACTTTGGTGTTCAATAAATTGGGCTTCGTAATACCAGGGTACTTTCGCAACAGCTCAGAGAATTTTACAGAATTGCTCACTGTGCTAATCGCAGTATTTTTCAGTTACTGACATTACATCACTATGTACAAACATATTTGTCACACCATCAATTAATTTTCTCTGGCGAATGTCAAGCAGTAAGTGAAACTGATTCAGAAAATCAGCACCTAAAATGCCTCTGTTTACTTTTGCTACAACAAATGGCCATTGGAATGGGCGACGTAGTCCGAGGTCCACGGTCAACACCTTACTTCCAAACGTTGGGATTTCAGTTCCGTTAGCTGCGTATAGCTTGTATGAAGTGCAGGTACTTTTAGATTTCGTATCAGCTGGAATCAAGCTGATATCTGCTCCACTGTCAATAAGAAATTTGCTTCCTGTTTTTCTGTCTTTGATAAAAAAGGCGAAATTGCGGCAATTAATGTTTCCAGTAGCAGCAGGGCTTGCTGCTGATTCTACTGCTAGTTGCAGTTTTCCGGCTGCTTCCAACTGCAGGGAGGTTTGCATTTATCAGGGTAGCATTTTTTTCCAAATTTGAAATGGAAAAAACAGTATTTTCCATCTGGGTCAAAACGCTTGCGGGATCTGCTGCGGCTCCTATTTCTTTGATGGCTTTGACTTCGTCGTCTGTCTCTTGTGTGTTGAACACTCAGAGTCACAATTTGTTGCTCAAGTGAAGAAATTTTTTTTAGCAACATATCATATGGGCCAGCTTCTTGGACCACACTTGCAAGCTCTATCCGGGGATTCATCTCAAGAATTTTATCGGCCATTGTGGCCAACTTATCAGTACCTTCATCACTAACAATTAAAAATGTTTTTACTTGGTCTGGCAGTTTCTCCATCCATAAGGTTCTCAGAATTTTTTCAGACACATCATCAGCATCTCCAAGGGCACGCATTTTTTGGAGTAGAGTAGTTGGGGGCTTAGGTCTCCCAATTCTAGTCCAGTTAGAAATCGCTTGATGCATTTGTTTTCACTTTCTTTAAAAGTGCTCAGAAGTCTTCTTAGCGGCTGAATATTGTTTGGCGTGTCGTCTCGAATGATGTCCCAAATGTTTTCTATAAATTTGGGTTCAAGTTGTGCAACCAGGTAATTAAATCTTGTGTCTTCGGAAGTAATTCCACTGATTTTAAAAACTGTGCCTCTACGGTGAAAAACCACATTTCAGGTTTCTCTACCCAAAATGGCGGTATCTTAACACTCACTTTACTAGCTTCAAGTTTTGAAGTTGATGCAGATTCACTGTCCAATGGCATGTTTGCAATTTTAAGTCAAACTAAAACATTAGCATTCCTAATAAAACACGGGTCACCAGATATTAGTTCAACTCATTGCAAACTTTTATTCATAATCATGAACAGCACTAAAAACTTATACAGAAAAAAATTACAGACGTCCACCTTCAGCACATCCAACACCAACACACGTGGTGAACGAAAAACACATGGTCAACAAACTCTTTAGTCAATGTTACAGTTACATATGAAAATTTAAAAACAATAACACAGCAAAAAAAAAAATGTTCTGAAAATTCACACACTTAATTTTAAAAAATTAAATGCACATTATTAAAGTTATTAGCAATGACAAATAATTATTACACTTTTCTTTCATAATTTAAATTGATTTTTTTACCAATGTCTGGGCTATCACCAGGCCACTGAAATGCTAAGTTCAAATCCAATGTATTGGACTGGTGCAGCCATCTACTGACAAGATAGTGAAATGCAAAGTGTTCTAACAATCTGTAAAATAAATTTATTATAGAGATCACAAATATGATTTCATTTTATATATCGCTATTTTGAATTACTGTATATGTTTGTCAAATTATGTCAAGAAAGTGAGCTTCAAGATTCAAGATCAAGAGTTTACTTATGTTAAAGTTTGATAATTAAGTATCTAGCAGTACGCTTATTCTACATATAACAGCTTAAGAATGAAGTTCTGACATTTGTATAGAAAATATGCACTGTCTTTTCATTTTCATACTAATTTTTTCTATTTTTTTTAGTGCAAGCCTATTTGGTGGTGGATCAGCTAGCTAGATGTGGGTTCCAGATTTGATGACAGTGCCATCAAATCTTTATTCAGTTTTGATAAATGCTCTTCGCATTTCATATAGAAAAAAGGTGAAAGAGGTTGCAAAAATTTGTGTTATTGAAACAAAAAATCTACGGCAAAAGTCTCTTAAAGGCAAAAGATGTTGCATAGAGGTCTCTTACAGATGAAGAAGGTTGCATAAATTTGTGTCATTTGAAACTAAAGATCTGAGGCAAAAGTAAAGGTGTCTACTTAAGTTCTCTAGAAATGGCAGTTTAAAGTGAAAATTATTTGAAATGGAATCTGTATGCATACAGGGATACTTCAGAAAATGAAAGATCATAGTTCAAAATGAAACATTTATGGGGCTAAAATCCAGCAGAATTTCACAGTACTTATGTGAGATTTTAGTGATCAGGGAGAAGACAGAAGTATAACATTCCTTCGGGCTTCTAAATTTAAGTGAAGGACATGACAAACATACAAGATAGTCAAAGTTTAAGGAGATCAAAAATATCAACTGATGTAAGAATTATAGTGCAGGAACTAGAACCCAGACAACCAGTTCAGCTACACTGGACTGGAGAATTGAAAAGTGAAAAGTTTTAGAAGCACCGGGTGGCAGAAAGCCTAGCACCGGCTCCAATCTATTGCAATATTTGTGAAGGGCTAGAAACAAGGATAAGTTCGTCAAGCAACATGCAAGCAAAAAGTCACAAATTAAAGCACTTTTACTACCATGAGTATCTTGAATGAAGCTGTGTATTAGAAAAAAAAACAGTTTATGTGCAGTTGTTGACTCATTTCTTGATACAAGATTATTGAAACGAAAATTTGATAATAAAGATG